ATACCCATTAGCGAGCGCCATGCTGAATTAGCTTTGATAATAGGATACTAATACAACGCACTGCTGGCCTGCTGATACACTCCACAAAGCCAGATGAGCGTGCTCACATGTGTGCCCCAAAATAGCAGCAGGCCGACGCTATTTCTAGGAATTTTGCAAGGCAACGTTACCCAAGCTGCTCTTTGGTTTCCACCCTCATCCCAAATGTGGTTGATTAGCCAAGATATGTTTGGTGTCTGAAGTTTGCCTTCTTAGTTTTGCACAGGAGCTACGAGGCAAATGTAGTTAACGAGAAATGGAAGCTTAAACCCTACCAGTCTTCACTGACTTGCTAAAAATTATGCTGAGTTGTAATTTCTAATAGACTTGTGTGGTTTCAGACACTGTACTATGTTAATATGGACAGAAGCACTTAGCATATCTAAAAGCAGCAGTTGCATCAGTAGCAGCCATCTTGTAAGCCAGACTTTCCCTGTAATTTTATATGTTGTTAATCAGATACAGTGACCGAAAATGGTCCACAGTACATTCCCAGCCATAACCTTACAGTCACCATTTATCTTTCGGGGTGTCTTTGATACCGTCTTAAATTTGTTACTTTATTCTGCTAATCTGCTTGTTGGGTCATTTTACAGAAACGTCCATTTTTGTGTCCCTAGTGTGTACAGATATATTACACGTGAAAAAAAAACATGTTAGGGATACAATTTATTTTTATTTTAAAATAAAACAAGTTATTTTAACTATTACACCTTCTTGAGCCATCAATTCTGCAATATTGGTCTTTAAATCGATTATCTAGAATTCCAAGCACCACAGAAGAGCTCATCCTCACAGTCATATGTAAATGCTGAGGCCATATTTTAAAGTAAAAAACATTTTTCTGCAATTTTAAGTGCAATAATTTATACATGACTATGAAATATATGAATAAATGACATAAAGAAAACAAAGGCCAAATAAATATTATAAAATATGTAATGAAAGTTGTTGTCAACAGGAGTCAAGGTGTCACTGGTGTTACCGCATAACAAAAAATCTCTTATTTTGAAATAAAAATCACACTGATGACATCACTTGACTTCCTTTTACCAATTTTCTGAGGATCTATGAAGAAAAGCACATGGTGAGTCCACTGTGTCTTTTCAGTTATCAGAGATTTTCTCATTTAGCTCATGATTTCATATGAAGCTTTTAGCTGAAGTCACTGGTGTGACCAACTTTATTCTTAGTTCATTGTGAAAAAAATAGAATACAAATGGATTAAATTACATATTTTAGTGGATATTCCACTTCCACTTATTCCATTTTTCATTAAAAATGTCTCTGGTGTTACCTTTCCTATGTGTAACACCAGTGAGGATCGGTAACACCAGTGACTCCTATGGATAAATAGAAAAGTGGACGTTTCTGTAGAATGACCCATTTAACAAGGCCTACACAACTAACAACAAGAGCAGTACACACTAAAACCAAACAAGAGCTCATTGAATGGTTTGAATTACAAAGTTTGCTTAGCTACCTAGCTAATTAGCCCACTGGGGCTGGGCATATGGCTCTGGGAACATAGAACCCTTGGAACATATGGACCTGAGAACATAGAACTCTTGGAACACAAGGTCCTGGGAACACAGAACCCTTGAAATACATGGGAAAAATAACATTGGGAACATAGAACTCTAGGAACAAAGGTGCGCTCAATGGGTGCGACTCCTGTTTTGAGCTATATGATGTACTGTTGTCCATTTATACAGCAAATATTGTGTCATACAGTGTCAGAAACCACATACGCACATCTATTAGAGATTACTGAACACCACAACATGGTGTGAGGTAAGTGTGGTCATTTGGACATCCACTTAACATGCTATTTGCTGATGTATAAGCTACATTATTTGTTAGCCTTGTAGCTCCGGCACAAAACTAAGGAAGCAAACCTCCAAATTAGTGCACCAAACATAGTTAAGTGCTGTCTTTGCTCTGAATAGCACATCTGACTCAACTAAAAGCACTCGTCTCTGTGCTCTCAGAGCATCAATATTTTCTTGCTGTATAAATGAATGTATAAGCTCATTTGGCCCGCAGAAGCGCAGCTCCTGGGAAATCCACTATGCTTTCACACAAGATTGAAGATTTAGTTAATGATGCAATCTGCCCTGAATTAAATTAGGTTTGTTATAACAGGATAAATATAAAATTTGCAGTGAGTGAAGGAATAAATATGTGTAATTCAGCAAACCTTTTTGCTGGATAAATTGCTTTAAAAAGTCGATTAATCATGTTCCTGGGCTAAATTTCAACCACATCTTTCCCTTTTTGCATCTGAGTACAGTCCCCATTTCTACTGTTGACCTGATCTGCATCCCAGCAGAGGAAACCAGGGGCTATATTTAACCCACGCTGACCATAATCTGATTAGCGGCTAGTGCTAAAGGAAACATGTGGAGACTCAAGTTTTGGGTCAAATGCTAATGCAGCCTTGTTGACAGTGCCGTGTTCTGTGTGTCAGAAACTCTCTCCTGTTGGCTATGGAGGTCATTCCAATTCACCAGCAAGCTACATAGATGCTAACTGCTAACTTGGTACCTGGTAGTGTTTACTTATGTGTGTTAGAGTTTGAAATATTTGTCCAAACCTGATGGGACTGAACTGACAGTGGTGGGTTTGGTCGAGTTCTGAAGTAATTTCTCGATTGTGTGCTCGGCTCTGGACAGGCTCATATTTCATGTTCGGGTTCTTACAGCCGACCTCCAAGGTTTTAGCAGATTTTACCCTGTATAATCCCACTATAGTTTCCTCTTTATGTTACTTATTCCTCCCTACTTTCATTACCTTAAAACTTCCATGCTGGAGTCACAAACCCATGTTATCAGTGTTATCACTGAAGTCCATGCTCATGAGAAGATGGATGTGCCAAAAATAATACAGTGAATGAAAGCATTGCTTGAACTCAAAACTTGATGATGTGAGTTTGGGTGAGTTTGGACTGAATTTTGTTTGTCAGGAATCCAAACCTTGATAATGTTTATCAGGTCGGGATGGATTCGGAATCAAAACCTGATGATGTGGGACAGGATTGGGGTCAGAAAGAATTTTGTTGGGCTCCAAACATGATGGTGTGAGTCGGGTTGGGTTTGGACTGAATTTTGTTGGGTTCAAGTTGAATCAGGAATCCAAACTTGATGATGTGGGTTGGGTCAGGTTGGGTTGGATTCAGAAACAAAACTTGATGTTGGTCAGTTTGGGATGGATTTTGAATCAAAACTTGATATGGTGGTCAGGACTTGAGTAAAAAAGCATTTTGTTGGGCTCAGGTCGAGTTTGGACTCAAAACATTATGGTGTGAGTCGGGTCAGTTTGGACTGAAATTTGTTGGGCTCAGGTCGAGTCAGGAATCCAAACTTGATGATGTGGGTCAGGTCAGGTTTGGACTCAAAGCTTGAGATGTGGGTTTGGACAGATTGTGTTTGGACAGTATTTTATCAGGCTCAGGTTGAGTTTGGACTCAGAACTTGATGTAGGTTGTGGTGGTTGGATTTGTCAGGCTTGAGTAAGTTTTGAATGAAAACTTTAAGAAGTAGGTTGCTTTAGGTTCAGACAGAAATTGGCAGAGCTTGAGTTGGGTTTGGACTAAAGCTGAGGATATGGGGGTCGTGCTGGGTCAGGCTTGGGCAGAAAGCTCTGTTTCAGGCCTGGTTTAAACAGCTTTGAGATGATGACTCTGTGTTAGAATAGATACAGAGTTAAACTCTGTTGTGTGATTGTAATTGTATGGATCTTGGACAGTGTGTGTGTGTGTGTGTGTGTGCTGTTCTAGGTCACACCTGCGTCTCTGCCTAAATTCCCACAAAGCGCCAAATTTAAATTACCCACAATGCCTTTCTGCAGACTGTCCACAATTCTGTCCTTCTACATTGGTTTGTTCTCCCTCATACCCCCGACACCCCTCCCCCCAACTCTGAACATCTTTCTGTGTGTGTGTGTGTGAGTGTGTGCGTTTAGGGAGATCGTTAAAAAGCGCAGAAACACCTGACGTGGCCAAAGTCAGCACGTCCTTACCCACAATGCCCTCTGATAATGACATCGCTGCCTTGTGATTAACTGTTTCTCAGCAGTGCCACTCATGCAGAACAACAGAGAGAGAGAGAGAGAGAGAGAGAGAGAGAGGGAGGGAGAGAGAGGTGTGTGATGGTACAGGTTCAGTACAGGACTAATGTAATTACATTCCAGTTGTGTCACCATGACAATAAAAAACACTGAAAACAGTGAACTTCTCTCTCTCTCTCTCTCTCTTTCTCTCTCTCTCTGCCTGTCTGTTGTGTGATGGAGAGAGCAGGTAGTGTAGAAGAGGGGGCGGGGCTTCAGCCTCAGAAATATCAATCAAACAAATGCAGTGTTCAATATCATAAAACCACTACACAGAGAGAGGGATATGGGGAGGGGGGGGAGAGGGAGGGGGTGAGGAGGAATAGATTGTAAAAAACAGCAGGTGAAGAGGTGATAAGGTGTTTTGTAGTAGAGCAGAAAAAAATGATGTTGAATACTGGGAGAGAGAGAGAGAGAGAGAAAGAAGAAGGAGAGAGAAAGAGGGAGAAAAGGAAAGAGGGAGAGAAAAGAAGGAGAGAGGAAAAGAGAGACATAGAAAAGAAGGAGAGAGAGAAAAGAGGGAGAGAGAGAAAAGAGAAAGAGAGAAAAGAAGGAGAGAGAAGGAAGGGAAATGAGAGAGAGAGAGCAAGAGACTGAATGAGAGAGAAAAAGAGAGAGAAAAGACAGAGAGACATAGAGCGAGAGAATGAAGGACAGAGAAATTAAGTGCATGTGTGAAAGAGAGATAGAAAAAGGAGGCAGAGTGAGATAGAGAAAGACTAAGGAGAGAAAGAAGAGAGAGAGAGAGGGAGGAAGAGAGAAAGGGGAGGGGAAGAGAAGGAGGAGGGAGAGGGTGGCATGCTTGCGGAGTGTGACAGCAGGAGAGAGAGAGAGTGAGTGAGAGAGAGCGAGGGAGCACGCGTGCGGGCAGACGAAAGAGAAAGGAGGAGCCGAGCGGACGAAGAGGAGAGCAGAGGAGAGGAGGAAGAATGAAGGTGTGAGCGCGCTCAGCAGTGCAGCACACAGGGAGCGAGGGAGGAGAGAAGGATGGATGAATAGACGGACGAAAAAAAGAGACGGTCTCTGTGCTGCGGTCATGGCAACAGCATCCTCTCACGTCCGGACGTAACCGCGGCAACCCGCTGCTGCTGATGCTGCTCCTGCAGCTTCTGTAGCTCCTGCAGCTTCAGTGCTATGAGACTGAGAGGTCTGCCTCGTCGCCCTCGAGTGAGGGAGGAGGGGTCAGATAGGTGCAGTGCTGCTGTTGGGGGTGTGTGTGCAGCAAGACAGGTGCAATGATGCAAAGAGGAAAGAGGGAGAAGATGAAGAAGGAGTGAAGGAGGGCGAAAGAAAACGAGTGACAGTTACAGTCAATGGGATCGCGAGCGTTTCCGTGTGCGTAAGAGACGATCAGGGCGTAAGCTTCGCCGTCGTCCGTTTCCTCACCGGAGAAGCCAATAGAGATAAAGAAGAAGGAGTGAAAGAGAAAACGAGAGGAGAGAAAGGAGTGCGTGTGAGAAAGAGAGACAGAGAATCGGCGCTTGCACGTGTGAACGGATAGACTTCGTTAGCATTAGCTGCTTTTTTTTTTGCCACAGAAGCTGCATTCGCTCGAATCGCGCAGCAGGGTCGAGCCAGGGGTCGCTAGGGGTGGCGGTCTCGGGGACAGAGGTCAGAGGTCAGCGGTGTTGACCCCAGAGTGGGTCGTCACGGCGGTCGTTCGGCACGGAGGCGCGCAGCAGCAGTGTGTGTGAGAGAGACGGGAGGAGGGCCACCATGGGGGAGTGGACTATACTGGAGAGACTGCTGGAGGCTGCTGTTCAACAGCACTCCACTATGATCGGCAGGTAAGAGACGAGTGTGCATACTTACGCACGCACTACACACGGAGCTTCATACCCTTTTAGATCAAACAGTTAAATAAATAAATAAATAAACAAATTAGTACTGAGATCTTAGATATTTACAAGGATTATTTTATGGTGTATTTGTACCAGAGGCATTAATAGAGATAGCAATAAGCTAAATATACACAAAAGCATCATTTATAGTCTACTTTCTATTGGGACGCCTAACCCCTAAATTTATACTTACACTTTAAGAAAATATTACTTTGTTTTTTTAAATCGTTTTTTTTAAAGAAATTGTTGATTCCTTTTAAAGCAAAGTTTAAATTTTCCGTTCCATTTTTAAATAAAAAATAACCATCAAAAAAATGCTGTCCCACATTTTCATATCAGTACCAAAACACATACTTATAGTCTGTAGGTGGAGCCATATTTTAGCCACGCCCCTGCATTTTAGAGCAGGAAGTGAGGCTGCATCCCTGTCCCTCATGGCCACATGGTGAGCAATTAGATCCCATTATTTTGAAGTAAAAAAAGTCCGTGTGGAACATTAAGAATAGTCAATACCGAAACACAAAATCAAGTAAACGTCTATGTTTTAATAAAAATATTATGGTTTTATGTGAGTACGGCCATTAAACCAGTTCGGTAGAATCATCCATACATGTTTTACCTTCGTTCCTTTGTTTATTTCCAGTCGAAAAAGGCCATTAAGGGTTATTTGTTCATTTTTCAGGTTTCTCACTTTCAGGTTTTTAAACAAATCTGCAGGGATATTTTTCCACACCTCCAAAGTTCCGTCTTAGAAGTTGGTTGCATTTTCTGCTTTTCCCACTCCAAATAATCCCAAATGCATTCAGAGATGTTGGGGTTTGGACTGGATTTCTGTTAAATAAGCTTGAAACAGAAAAATAAACAGTAAAAAATAAACAAGTGATGGTCATTTTGGCTGGAAATTAAATAAACGAATGGTGCTCTCTGTTTACACTGTAGTGCACGTATACTGGTGCATAGATTTACTGGCACATACTGTATATACAGGACCTGTAAGGAGGTTTACTATAAATGTGAGCTGAGGTGATTTATGAAGGTGGTGCTGTAGCAGCGTAGCGACGTTATCCTCTGTGCTGTATATGAATCTGTTACAGACGCTGTGGAAACTCCTTTAGACATTAAACATGTTGGTAAATAATAAAGGAATAAACACGATTCACTGAAATATCATTTCAACACATTTATTTTTGGTACAGGTAGCGCAGCCATATGTGCAGGAGAATCAAAATGTGTGTGTGTGTGTGTGTGTGATGTGTGTGTGTGCGTGTGTGTGTGTGTGTGTGTGTGTGTGTGTGTGTGTGTGTCTGTGATGTGTGTGTCCATTTTTCCCACCCCCTCTCAGCTGGTTAGTTTAAAGCAGAGTTAATTATATGTAATCAATAAGCTGCACTATGAGGTCTAAGGATGAGAGAGAGAGAGAGAGAGGGAGAGTGAGAGAGAGAGAGGGAGAGTGAGAGAGAGAGAGAGAGAAAGAGAGTGAGAGTGAGAGAGAGAGAGAGAGAGAGAGAGAGAGGGAGAGAGGGAGAGGAGGTGGCAATGCAGGCTTTTATAATGAGCCGATTGATTTAAAGAGTATTGGCGACTACAGCAAAGATTCTCTCTCTCTCTCTCTCTCTCTCTCTCTCTCTCTCTCTCTCTCTCTCTCCCTCTTTGTGGGTAGCAACCCTCAAGGAACAGGGACCACCAGTCATATCAATTCAGTCCTTTAAATCCTTTGTGGTTTTAATTTAAAAAAGCCTATTTATTGGTTAAGCTGTAATTGATTAGCCTACAATTAGGTAGGCTGTGTTTGGTTAGCCTGTGATTGATTAGACTGTGTTTGGTTTGCTTATGATTGGTTAGCCTGTGATCGATTAGGCTATGATCGATTAGACTGTGTTTGTTTAGCCTGTGATCGATTAGGCTGTGATCGATGAGACTGTGTTTGGTTTGCTTGTGATTGGTTAGCTTGTGATCGATTAGGCTACGATCGATTAGACTGTGTTTGTTTAGCCTGTGATCGATTAGGCTGTGATCGATTAGACTGTGTTTGGTTAGCCTGTGATCGATTAGGCTGTGATTGATTAGACTGTGTTTGGTTAGCCTGTGTTCGATTAGGCTGTGATTGATTAGACTGTGTTTGGTTTGCTTATGGTTGGTTAGCCTGTGATTGATTAGGCTGTGATCGATTAGACTGTGTTTGGTTTGCTTATGATTGGTTAGCCTGTGATCGATTAGGCTGTGATCGATTAGACTGTGTTTGGTTTGCTTATGATTGGATAGCCTGTGATTGATTAGACTGTGTTTGTTTAGCCTGTGATAAATTAGTCTATGATCGATTAGACTGTGTTTGTTTAGCCTGTGATCAATTAGGCTGTGATCGATTAGACTGTTTGTTTAGCCTGTGATCGATTAGGCTATGATCGATTAGACTGTGTTTGTTTAGCCTGTGATCAATTAGGCTATGATCGATTAGACTGTGTTTGTTTAGTCTGTGATCAATTAGGCTATGATCGATTAGACTGTGATCAATTAGGATGTGATCGATTAGACTGTGTTTGTTTAGCCTGTGATCAATTAGGCTATGATCGATTAGACTGTGATCGATTAGGCTATGATCGATTAGACTGTGTTTGTTTAGCCTGTGATCAATTAGGCTATGATCGATTAGACTGTGATCGATTAGGATGTGATCGATTAGACTATTTGTTTAGCCTGTGATCAATTAGTCTATGATCGATTAGGCTGTGTTTGTTTAGCCTGTGATCAATTAGGCTGTGATCGATTAGACTGTTTGTTTAACCTGTGATCAATTAGTCTATGATCGATTAGGCTGTGTTTGTTTAGCCTGTGATCAATTAGGCTGTGATCGATTAGACTGTTTGTTTAACCTGTGATCGATTAGGCTATGATTGATTAGACTGTGTTTGTTTAGCCTGTAATCGATTAGGCTATGCTCAATTAGACTGTGTTTGGTTTGTTTATGATTGGATAGCCTGTGATCAATTAGGCTGTGATCAATTAAACTGTGTTTGGTTTGCTTATGATTGGTTAGCCTCAGATTGGTTAGTGATCAGTTAGGCTATAATCAATTACGCTATGGTCTGTTAGTCTGTGATTGGTTAGATTGTGTTTGGTTAGCCTATGATCAGTTAGGCTACAGTCAAATTGGCTGCGGTTGGTTGGCCTGTGATCATTTGGTTAGCCTATGGTTGGATAGGCTGTGTTTGGTTAGCCTTCGATCGTTTGGTAAGCCTATGATCGGTTTGGCTGTGTTTGGTTAGCCTTTGATTGTTTGGTTAGCCTATGGTTGGATAGGCTATGTTTGATTAGCCTATGGTTGGATAGGCTGTTTGGTTAGTTTGTGATCATTTGGTTAGCCGATGATCGGTTAGGCTGTGTTTGGAAAGCATATGATTGGTTAGGCTGTGTTTGGTTTGCCTAGGATCTGTTAGGCTGTAGTTGTTTAGTGTATGATACGTTAGGCTTTGGTTGGTTAGCCTATGATAAGTGAGATAGTGGTTGGTTAGCCAATGATAGTTTAGGCTGTGCTTTGGTAGCCTATGATAGGTTAGGCTGAGGTTTGTTAGTCAATGATTGGTTAGGCTGTGATTGATTAGGCTCTGGTTGCTTAGCCAAGGGCTGATTAGCCGATAATCCGTTAGGCTGTGTTTGGATAGCTTGTGATTAGTTGGCTTCATCACTTCCATAGTAGCTAGATAATTTGATGAGCTGCAAAGTAGAAAACGGTGTTTTGTCAAAGTCCTCATAGGAATGTCTGTTCTTTTTTCGACTGCTGCCAGGCAGTTATTTCAGCCATACAAAACCAGGCTCTTGTGTTTTTGAATGGGGAGAAAAGTTCGAAAGTAAAGGCCAAAGTACCATTTTGAAAGCACTAAAAACCACTGATAAAATCGGACAATGCTAAATAAATAGTTGGTAGCCTTTGACTTAAATAAAGTTTTTTGGGGTTGTTCTGGTTGCTGTAGATCTTGACAACAAGAGGAGGCTTTTCCCACTAGGGGCTTAACTAGCAAGCTGATTGGCTCTTTTTTTTTGAAGGGTGGGACTTTCTCCACAAACAGATGCCATGTTAGGCATTTTGAACTTTCACATTCATAAATCAACCAGTGACCTTCTCTCCTCCTTCATAATGCCTTTGGCTGTATATTGGTTAGATAGTGATTATTTAGATTGTGATTCGTCAGCCTATAATTGGTTAGATTGTGATTGGGCAGCCTATGATTAGTTAGCCTGTGATTGGTTGGATTGGGATTGGTCAACCTATGATTGGTTAGATTGTGACTGGTCTGTTTATGATTGATTAGACTGTGATTGGTTAGATTGTGATTGTTTAGTCTGTGATTGTTTAGATTGGGATTGGTCAGCCTAAGATTGATTAGACTGTGATTGGTTAGATTGTGATTGTTTTGCCTATGATTGGTTGGATTGGGATTGGTCAGCCTATGATTGGTTAGCCTGTGATTGGTTGGATTGGGATTGGTCAGCCTATGATTGGTTAGCCTATGATTGGTTGGATTGGGATTGGTCAGCCTATGATTGGTTAGCCTATGATTGGTTGTCCCCACCACCGTCACTCTCACCTCAGAATATTTTACGCTTGGCCAAGGCAAATTAGCCAATTCGATAATCTGTGAAGAAGGCCGGTATAAAGAGATAATTCTGTGAATTCCTGTGTATGTAGTGTGAGTAAACACTGCTGTGATCCGTCGAACCCAATCCTAGCCTTAACCTCAGCAACCAAAACATCAGCTTTGGCCTCTTTTACTCTGTCAGAGAGGGTACTGTACTAGTACATATTAGAGTAAAAAACTATGAAAATATATCCTCAAAGGTACAACACTCATCCTTAAGGTCCAAAATGGTGCCTTAAATGAGTTTTAAAGGTGTATTATGTTTCATAACTTGATGTCCCCAGAAATACAAACACATGTTGTGCAACAGTC